AAAATAAAAATAAATAAATTTTTAAAAATTGCATTTCCTGGGGGCTGGAGAGATGGCTCAGAGGTTAAGAGCACCGGCTGCTCTTCCAGAGGTCCTGAGTTCAATTCCCAGCAACCACATGGTGGCTCCCAACCATCCGTTATGAGATCTGGTCCCCTCTTCTGGTGTGCAGATATACATGGAAGCAGAATGTTGTATACATAATAAATAAAATCTTTTAAAAAATTGCATTTCCTATGACCATGAACATATGATGTGTGCATGATTGCAGGTGTGGAGGTCAGATGATAAGTGTGTGGAATCAGTCCTCTGCAACCTTTAGGTGGTTTCAGGGATCAAAGTCAGGTCCTCAGGATTGTCCTGGCTGTCCTGGAACTCACTCTGCAGATCAGGCTGGCCTCAAACTCACAGAGATCCACCTGCCTCTGCCTTCCGAGTGCTAGGATTAAAGGCATGTGCTACCAATGCCCGGCTTATTTGTTACTCTTAAAGACTTATTTTTGATTGGACTAAGACTTAGAAGTAGACACTCTCAGCAAGGACAGTCTACACTTGTTTCTGGAATTTTCTTTGGCTTCTTTCATAGTCTTGGCCAGAAGTTGAGCATATTCTACAGCCTCCTCATTTTCTTAATACATTGTTTCTTCAGAACAATGTGAAGTAACAAGATGCTGAATCATGCGTACTTTGGTCCTAGCCTTCTTATCTTCTTCTTCTTCTTCTTCTTCTTCTTTTTTTTTTGAGACAGGGTTTCTTTGTGGCTTTGGAGCCTATCCTGGCACTCACTCGGTAAAGTAGTCTGGCCTCGAACTCACAGAGATCCCCCTGCCTCTATACCCCCACCCCAGTGCTGGGACTAAAGGTGTGTGCCACCAATGCCCAGCTCCCTTATCTTCTTTGTCTAAGGGCTTTCTGAAAACATTTGGGGATATCATTTTCTTCAGAGAGCCTGAAAAACTTGTGGACTCTGCTAGTTCTTGTCAGTTCTAACCACTGAGGCCCAGTATCTGTTGATCCAGAAATAACCTTCTCTCCTTTTTGGGACAGGGGATTGTTTCCTAGACAGAGTTTCTCTGTTTAACCCTGGCTGTCCTAGAACTCATTCTGTAGACTGTACTGGCCTCGAACTCACGGAGATCCACCTATCTCTGCCTCCCAAGTGCTGGGATTAAAGGTGTGTGCCACCACTGCCCAGGCCTGGCTCTTTTTTAAAAAAAACAAGAACCAATGTGAGAACATTAGTCAGATTGGAATCCACTATGCATCTGCACTTAGCCACACTGTGCTGTCGGTTAAGACATTTATTTATTTAGGTTTTCTGAGACAGGAATTCTCAGTATAATAGCTCTGGCCGCCCAGCTAAAACACATTGCTTCAGAGGAAATCTTTGTTCATCATTCTCACCACTAATTCAAATGCAAACCCCTTCCAGTCTTCACCCGGACCATCAACAGCTACATTACTCCATAAGCTTCTCATAGAGACTGCAAAGTTTGCCGGGCAGTGGTGGTGCACATCTTTAATCCCAGAACTTGGAAGACAGAGACAGGCGGATCTTTGTGCGTTCAAGGCCATCCTGGTCTACAGAGTTCCAGGACAGACTTCAAAGAAGAGAAACCCTGTCTCAAAAAAAGAAAGAAATTTCGAAGTTTGCATTCATTGCATTCATATTCACTGTTTCAGTGAATATCTGACAGCTAGTGCCTGGAAAGGAGATATTCAGCTTCATCCTAGCCAACAGCTTAGGAGGTACCATGGGGGATTTAAAAAAAAGCTGTATGAAGTAACGTTCAAGAGCACAGGCCACTCACAAGCAACTACACCTATTTTATATGGCTTGAAGTCCGCAGCAGAATCAATGCAAACCTGGGTTCAGCGCGCCACCTAGTGGTAAAGATGTAGAGGAGACACAGGCTCCAACCACAGAAGACAAAACAAACGCAGTCTGGGAAAGCAGGTTTCAGTGCAGTCTGGGAAAGCCGGTTCTGTCAGACAGAACAGCTAAATGACCTTTAGTGGCAATGTGGAGTTATTCTAAGACTGGCTGTGGTGGCACATTCTGTAGTTACAGTACTCTGGAAGTAAAGGCTGGAGGATCAGGAGTTCAAGACATCCTCAATTACCTAGCAAGGTAGTCAGGGGTCAGAGGACTAGTTCTACTAAGGTTAGTGAAACGTTGTTTCAAAAAGCAAACTAAGGTACTAGAGATAGCTCAGTCATTAAGAGTATGGTGTTTCAAAAGAACCAACTTTGAGTCCCAGCACCCCCAGGAGACTCAAAACTGCTTGTAATCCCAGCTGTAGGGAGTCTGATGGCCTATGGCTCATGCAGCACCTGCACTCATGGGCACATCCTTACACACACATGAATTGATAAAATAGACTGCACAGAGGACTGAGAGAATGAAGATGGATGCCATTTGCCTTTCCTGGGGTGGCACATCCACCTTGGACCCCTGGGACTGATGAGAGTTAAGGGTGGTGGAACAATAAGAAGAAACACTCCTGGTGGCACACGCCTTTAATCTCAGCACTGGGGGGGGGGGAGGCAGGCAGAACTCAAGGCCAGCCTGGTTTCCATAGTGAAGTTCCAGGACAGCTAGGGAGACCTGGAGCTGGAGATGGCTCAGCAGTTAAGAGCACTTCCAGAGGACTGGAATTCAATTGAGGAGGAGGAGGAGAAGAAGAAGAAGAAGAAGAAGAAAAAGAAAGACTCCTGCTTCTTTTTTACAGTGAGGAGCCGAGGCTGCAGCTGAACCCACGCAGAACCAAAAGGAAACCCCTAAGGTGTTTCATTCCCACTGACTTTGGATTTTCTGTGCCTCCTGGATGATTAATCCATATTAATTCATATAGACTTTGCCGTTGTTTTTTCCTGTCTGTGCTGGCTAGTTATATGTCAACTTGACCCAAGCTAGAGTCATCAGAGAGGAAGGAGCCTCATCTGAGAAAATGTCTCTATAAGATTGGGCTGTAGGCATTTTCTTAAGTAGTGATTGATGGGGGAGGGCCCAGCCCATTGTGGACGGGGCCACCTCTAAGTTGATGGTCCTTGGGTCTTTAAGAAAGTAGGCTTCGACAGAGAAACCCTGTCTCGAAAAACAAAACAAAAAAAGAAAGTGGGATGCACAAGTCATGAAGAGCCAGCTGGTGGCCCCCTCCATGGCCTCTGCCTCAGCTCCTGCCTCCAGGTTCCTGCCCTGTTTGAGTTCCTTTCTTTCTTTTTTTTTTTTACATACTTTTTTTATTTTAGAAGCACTCTTATTTTACATATCAATGCCCCATTCCCTCGCCTTCCCATCCTCCCATGCCCCCCACCCTGTTTGAGTTCTTATTCTGATTTCCTTCAATTATAGATAGTGATGTGGAAGTGTAAGGCAAATAAACCTTTTCCTCCCTCCCCCCAAAAAGAAATGATAAAATAAATCTTTTTAAAAAGCAAAATAAGGCTGAGTGGTGATGGTGCATACCTTTAATTCCAGCATGTGAGAGGCAGAGGTAGATTTCTCTGAGTTGGAGGCCAGCCTGGTCTATAAAGTGAGTTCCAGGAGAGCCAGGGCTACACAGAGAAACCTTGTCTTGAAAAACAAAAGTTTGTCTCTGTATACATGCGATGTCTTTGCACCCATATGAGGACCTGTTCGGAAACATCTCAAGCATCCTGCCCTGAGATTCTCTGCCTTATCACCTTCACACGGGCTCTCTTGTTGAACCTGAAGCTAGGTTGGTAGTCAGGAAGCCCCATGAACCCTCCTGTCTGTAACTCTCCATCCCCATTCCCCTCCCCTGCCCCACAGTGCTAGGATTCCAGATACATATGTGAATTCTGGGGGGATTTGAACTCAGGTCCTCATGCTGATACAGCAAAATGCTCTTACCTGCAAAGCTATCTCCTCAGCCTCATATACTGAAATCTTAGTCTCAGACAGAGACTTCATTTTGGAAACAGGGTCATTAGTTAAGATGAGGTCATAAGGGTAAAGTTTGTGCCATTGTACTGGTAGTGTACGCCTATTGTCCCAGGATAGTGGAGGCTGCCGCAGGAGCACTGTGTGGCCAGTCTAATCTAAAAAGCAAGATCCTGTCTAAAGTGAGACTGACCTTGAAGTCCTGATTCCTCCCCCTCCTAAATTTTATTTTACATATGTGTGTGCACAAGGTGCCTGCCTGAAGCTTGCAGAGGTCAACAGAAAACATTGGATTCCCTGGAACTGGGTTAAAGACCCAGTTGTGAGCTGATATGTTTCTGCTGGGAACCCAGGTCCTCTGCAAGAGCAGCCAATGCCCTTAATTTTGAAACGTCTCTGTAGCCCACCCTTATTTTTTTTCCCTGCCTCTAATTCCCAAGGGCTGGCTTTGCATCATACTTGGCTAGCATGAAGTCCAGACTGGCCTTGAGCTCAGCAAGATCCTCTTGTCTCTGTCTTGCCATGTTCAGCTTGGCAGTCTTTTTTAGGTGTCAATGTTTTGTCTGCATGTTTTTATGTTTGTGCACTATGTCGGGGCTTGGTGGGGAATCAGAGAAGGGCATGGATTCTCTAGAACTTACAGATGGTGAGTCACAATGTGGGTGCTGGGACTTGAACCCAGGTCCTTTGCAAGACCTAAACAGCCTTACCAGGTCTCCAGCACCCTTGTATTTCAAAGCAAGTCCCTCCCCTTGCAGTGTTTTAAAGCACCAGTTTCCCCCACATCTTGCAAACTGGCCATACTATACGGTGCACCAACGCCACCGTAGCCTTAGAGCGTTTAGTTTCAGGACGACAATCTCCCAGATGGCACCGCGGAATCTCTGGGTTGCGTGACCATAAAATGTCCAATAGCAGAGGAATTCGAGAAGGTAGCAACTGGTCTCTCAGCCTACCCGCACTGAGCAGCTGGACTACCTCTCCCATAAGCCATTGCGGGCTTGACTCTTATCTTTTCCAGACTTGAGGGCGGGGCGAGTAAGGACTCCTATTTCCCGGCAGGCGGTGCGGCCAGAGGAGGCGCGGGACTTCATTTCCCAGCAGGCTTCAGGCGGCGGGCGCCGCGGTGCCTTGTGTGGGATGTAAGCGCGGAGGTGGGCTCGGGGGACCGAGGCCAGGACTCTCCTTGGGATTTGCGGGGAGGCTGGTTTGGGTTCGTCTTCTGGACAGGCTCCAGAGGGCCGGGTAGAGGTCACAGTGACCGGGAGGGGTGACCTTTGAGGGTCCTCATTGAGGTCTTTGGGACGCAGCCTCATCGGGGCTGGGGGTCCCGGATTGTAGGGAACAAGAAGGCCCCACAGCCTTGGTTGAAGGGTCTCAGCGACCGAGCCTCCGCCTGTGAGCGCAGGACGAAGCGGCTGGCGAAGCAGAATTGTGGCGGAGGGTAGAGCCTTAGCTGAGCCTGGGAGGGGGCTCTCCCTCCGAGCCCGACCCTCCCTGCCTCGGCTTGCCGGCAGGCCACCGCCCGCCGCCATGGGGCTGAAGGCCGCCCAGAAGACGCTGTTTCCTTTGCGCTCTATCGACGACGTGGTGCGCCTGTTCGCTGCGGAGCTGGGCCGAGAGGAACCTGACCTGGTGCTCCTCTCTTTGGTCCTGGGCTTCGTGGAGCATTTCCTGGCTGTCAACCGTGTCATCCCCACCAACGTGCCCGAGCTCACTTTCCAGCCCAGCCCTGCACCCGACCCTCCTGGCGGCCTCACCTACTTCCCGGTAGCCGACCTGTCCATTATTGCTGCCCTCTATGCCCGATTCACCGCCCAGATACGCGGCGCTGTGGACCTCTCCCTCTATCCTCGAGAGGGGGGCGTTTCCAGTCGCGAACTGGTAAAAAAGGTCTCCGATGTCATATGGAACAGCCTCAGCCGCTCCTACTTCAAGGACCGTGCCCACATCCAGTCCCTCTTCAGCTTCATCACAGGTTGGAGTCAGACAGGTGGTCAGGGGAGCAAATGAATGTTGGCTTACCTTGTCTAGTGTCTGAACAATATAGTTTACAGCCCATTTGAGACCTGTAAACCTTGTATAGTGGGGCAGGTATTATTTTTCCTTTGCAGCTGTGGAAATACAATCTCGAAGAAGGCAAGTGATGTTTTAATGTCAGAATGGCAGGGCTGGGACTGGAACCTGATCCTTTGGTACCAGATCCCCCTTCTCCACGGGACCATGTGTGTCTTTCTTAGGGTTCTCCTTGTTTCCTAGCTTCTCTGGCGGTTTGGATTGTAGGCTGGTAATCCAGCACCCCTAGCCCTGCCATTGATTAGCCACAGGAATCTGGCAGCCCAACATATGGGGAAAGAGGATGGCAGCCGATTAGGGAAGTAGGACAAAGGGATGGATACATTTGAGAGGATTAAATGAGATGATGCCTATGAAAATATTTTGAAAGGAAACACTGACTTGAGCTCAAGAAGGCTAAGGACTTGCAAAGTGCTTCAGCTCCCGGTGCATGGTATTGAGCAAGAATCTGAGGCCATTTCTGAGCTTAGCAGAGGACAGAGATATCAGTCAGGGCATGGGCCCAGGGTGTGGTGTGGGTGGGTGGGGGGTTCGTAGGGTCATGGGTTTGTTTTCCCTGTTATAGTCTAATAGGTGTACTGTAAGACGTTGTTTAAGTCATTATGACAACAGAAGTACACGATATAGAAAAGGGAGGCACAGTTTCTGGCTGGGTGAAGCTGGGATCCAGGAGAGTTTGCTGCTGGGGTTGGGTTAACAGGAGCGAGGGGTTGCCAGCATAGAAGAAACGGGAGAGTATTATGATGGGAAGAAGCATGTGACAGGCTTGGACACCGGCAAGAGGTGTTGGGGGGCATAGCCCCCTTCTTCCAGGCCAGGCCGGAGCTCTTATTTCCACCCTCTTCTACAGGCACTAAACTGGACAGCTCAGGCGTGGCCTTCGCAGTAGTGGGGGCCTGCCAGGCCCTGGGTCTCCGAGATGTCCATCTGGCCCTGTCTGAGGATCATGCTTGGGTGGTGTTTGGGCCCAATGGGGAACAGACAGCTGAGGTCACCTGGCATGGCAAAGGCAATGAAGATCGCAGGGGCCAAACAGTCAATGCTGGTGTGGCTGAACGGGTATTGTATTTCCCCACAATCTCACTCTTTTCTTACTCTGTTAGCCCAAGTCATCTTAGGGATTCTACTTCCCTGGCCATGCTCCTCATCCCATTAACCGTCTGTGTCTCTGTATCAGGGGGTAGGCAGATTGAAGTTGCCTAGAGCAGGCACAGGGTGGGACATCCTGAGATATCTACTTTTGTGCCTTTCCAAGAGCTGGCTGTACCTAAAAGGATCATACATGCGTTGTGATCGCAAGATGGAGGTGGCGTTCATGGTGTGTGCCATCAACCCTTCCATTGATCTTCACACTGATTCCTTGGAGCTGCTGCAGTTGCAGCAGGTGAGGAGACCACCTCTGCCCAGCCCCCACCCCCCTTCCCGTCTATAAAATGGACTGGCTGTTCTCAATGCCCAAGGGAGAGTAGAGTTGATTCATGAAGGGCTTTGCTTCATGAGGGACTGAGTCTTGAATTCTGGCCTTCTCTGGTGGAAGGGCCCTCCTGCTTCTGGACACCAGTCCACCTGATAGGCAGCTCCCTTCTCCTCACTCATACCTCTTTCCCTCTGGCTCTAGAAGCTGCTTTGGCTGCTGTATGACCTGGGACATCTGGAAAGGTCAGTAGAGGGATATGATCAGACTAGACTTCGGGGGAGCCAGGGGACTGGGTGACAGCCTGTGCTTTTTATGTGTTCCTAGGTACCCCATGGCACTAGGGAACTTGGCGGATCTGGAGGAGCTGGAGCCCACTCCTGGTCGGCCAGACCCACTCACGCTCTATCACAAGGTAAGGGCGTCTCAGCAAATAGCATCTCATTTCTGGAAATTTTGAGGAGATAGGTGAAAAACAAACTTTGTGTGCTGGAGAGTATTTCCTGCCCTACTTTGTATCAAGCACATGTATAATGAGGGTAGTTGTATGTTTAAGAAGTGCTCTGGGTTCCCTAGCCTAGGACTGGCAGAGCCGGGATTTGCCTCAAAAGCCCTCATTTTTCAGCTGCCCCTCATTATCCTGGCATATAGCTTGTGGTAGCACTGTGGAGAGATGTTAGGTTGCTCAGTGTGGTCCAGGGTGATTGGGCTTGGAAGTCTTTGTTTAGGAACATGTGGGGAAGAGACCTGCCCTGGGCCTGAGTACTGCCCTGCCACTCCCTAGGCCTTGTTTTGTAGGGTCACCCCTCCTATTGTCTGCCCTTGCCTTAGCAATCCGACTTGTATGTTCAGGCCTGGGATAGAGGTGAGAGAGAGTGGGGAGCACCAGGTAGAAGGGTCAGGAAGGATTGGAGCCAGGGAGGAACAGACAGCTGAGGAAGCATATCATTGATGAACCCCCTGGCAACTGGGGGCTCCCTCCCTGAGGTTCCTTTACTCCATCCTCCAGGGAATTGCCTCAGCCAAGACCTACTATCAGGACGAGCACATCTACCCATACATGTACCTGGCTGGCTACCACTGTCGCAACCGTAATGTGCGCGAAGCCCTGCAGGCCTGGGCCGACACTGCCACTGTTATTCAAGAGTAAGGTTTCCCCTGACAGGGCCTCCAGCTTGTCCTTTCTATTGCTTTTCAGTCATCTATCCAGGAGCGAGCCCTTGTCCCAAGCCCTGTCCCCTCTCTGATCAGTCCCTACAACCAAGCTACCATTACCCAGGAAGTGAGGACCTCTGGTTAGAGCCGTAGCCTTTTCTTTCTTTTTCTTTTTCTTTTTTTTTTTTTTTTTTTTGGCCTTATGCCTTTTCTTCTCTCCTTTCTCTGCCTAATTTCTTCTGCTTTATAGTCAGTTGTGTTATCTATGATGCCACTGTTTCTGCCCAATTTCTAGTGTAGCCCCTACATCCTACTCTTTAATCTTGCCTTGAACTAATATGGTCACCATCATCTGGATGAACAAGCACCCCAACCTCTTACCCAGTCAGTTGGATGTCCAATTGTGGGGACACTGTCAACCTGAATCCTACATGTTCTCACAGCTACAACTACTGCCGGGAGGATGAGGAGATCTACAAGGAATTCTTTGAAGTGGCCAATGATGTCATCCCCAATCTGCTGAAGGAAGCAGCCAGCCTGCTAGAAGCAGGCGAGGAGCGTCCCGGGGAGCAAGCCCAGGTGAAGGGCAGGACTCCATTGGTCCACCCTCCTTCCTGGGCATTTTGGACTGCATGGACAGAACTGGGGATCCTCTTGCTGGGGCTGATATCTTGGGCTTGTGTTTGAAAGGACTTGAGGGTGTTTTAGAACTAAAGCCTTCAGGTAAATGGATTGATTGATGTCCATGTCTTTCATGGCCAGGTTCTCACCTGGGTTAGGCTGTAGGTAAGGAAAGGTACACTCCCTCTCCCCACATGCAAACCAAAGGTTGGCTTTGTAAAAGAGAGGTCCTGGCCTGCAGTTGCCTTAACTGAAACCAGAGCTTTGCCCAGGTGGAGCCTGGCTGGACACTGTGTCTCACTTCTTCCCTATTCTGTCCAGGGCACCCAGAGCCAAGGTTCTGCCCTCCAGGACCCAGAGTGCTTTGCCCATCTGCTGCGATTTTATGATGGTATCTGCAAATGGGAGGAGGGCAGCCCCACACCAGTACTACATGTAGGCTGGGCCACTTTCCTTGTGCAGTCCCTAGGCCGCTTCGAGGGACAGGTGAGAGGACCCTATGCAGGGGGGCTGGGAACTACAGGTGGTGGCAGTAGCCACAGGGGAGTGAGATCCCATACTGCCCCCCCAGACAGGGTTTCTCTGTATTGCTTTGGAGCTTGTCCTGGAACTAGCTCTGTAACCAGGCTGGCCTCGAACTCACAGAGATCAGCCTGCTTCTTCCTCCCGAGTGCTGGGACTAAAGGCGTGTGCCACCAATGTCCGCCTGGGAGAGAGATTATTGTATATACCTATCTGAGTACAGACGAAAGGAAACTCCTAGAGGGGTGGCCAGGGGCTGAGCTTGGCGCTCCTACTGGTGATCTACAACCTTTCCCTTGGCTTGCACTCTTGCTCAGGTGCGGCAGAAGGTGCACATAATTAGTCGTGAAGCAGAGGCAGCAGAGACTGAAGAACCATGGGGGGATGAAGCCCGAGAAGGCCGGCGTCGAGGTCCTCGACGGGAGTCCAAACCCGAGGAACCACCCCCACCCAAGAAGCCTGCATTGGACAAGGGCCCGGGCTCTGGGCAAAATGCAGGGTCAGGACCACCCCGGAAAACACCAGGGATTGTCCCAGGTACTACCCGTGGCCCAGAAGTCAGCAGTGCTGCTCAGGCTCCAGCACCTGCAGCATCGCCACCCCCGGAGGGCCCAGTGCTCACTTTCCAGAGTGAGAAGATGAAAGGGATGAAGGAGCTACTGGTGGCCACCAAGATCAACTCAAGTGCCATCAAGCTACAACTCACTGCGCAGTCGCAAGTGCAGATGAAGAAACAGAAAGTGTCCACACCCAGCGACTACACACTTTCTTTCCTTAAGCGGCAGCGCAAGGGCCTCTGAACGGTTGGGGATTCCCTGACCAGGACCTAGGCCCTGCCCTCACTCCCAGCAGGCTTCACCCTAGTTCCCCAATTCAAGCCCAGACTCTGCCCACAGTCCTAGGGGGCCCAGGGCTGTTCTGCAGTGACTGGGAACCTTCAGTTAGCTCCTTTAGGCTGTGACTCAGTTCTTAGAATTTAGGTTTCATCTCCCACCAGCCAGCCAATTGGAACCTCATTGTAGGTCTGTGTTAAAGGTCCAACCCCCAAAATTCAGTGGACCATGATATTGGAACCATAGTCAAGCCTGAGCAGTTCGGCATTCCTCCCACTTGGGGATGAGGTTGACCTTAGCCCAGAAACACAGATGCTACCTGGAAACCGGAGAATCAAGGACTCCATTCAGTCCCTAGGGGTAGATTTCCGCACTTTTGAGTTCCAGCCTTTGGGAATCCAGCCTCCTACCCCAAAGAACTTCCATATTGCTGCCTGAATTTGGAAATCTTCGCTTCCTCGCCTCCCTAACCCCAGAGTCCAGGACACGAAGCTTCAACTCTTGTCTGTGAATACTGAGCCTCGCCCCCTTCCTGACCAAACTGGCCCCAGAACAGACAAGGACCTCTTCCAACCCTCTGGGAACCTCCCTGAGGTCCCGGGAGGAAATATGCACGGGGTGGGGGAGGGCCAGTCTCTTCCTGTTTTGTACATAGATTTATTTTTTAGTTCAAGGAAGATGAATACATTTTGTTAAAAAAAAAAAAGAAAAAGAAAAAAAAGACATGTTCGTGTTTCATCTGGGACGTTGGGGATGGGGCGGGGAGTGGACGTCCGCTTTGCTCTGCCTTTGGATTTTGAACTTCATGCTCTGCACCTGTAGCGCGTCGAGAATCCGGGTGGGGAAGAACCTAAGCTCCGCCCCT